CCCAGACTGCAGAGGAGGTTGGATGTGCTTCCCACATTGTCACAGAAGTATTTCTAGGTTCTGTGCCCCAGGAGTGTGATTCCCCAAGCTGGTCCTCAGAGACAAATCTGAAGTAATTGCTGCAGCTTCATGGTTTGGCTCCCTGGGCCACACTCACCGAGGAGCATGCGCGGAGGGAATGCATGGCACGCCGCTGGGTTTGCATTTGATAAATTTTGTCCCCAGGGATGTGTGTGCCTCTCCATTCTTAGTGTGGTGGCTGCTCTGGGAAATCTGCTGGGAAAGCTGGTAACTGGGGCAGAAGGGGCTCCAAACGGGAGGTGGAAAACAACAAACTTTGATTCCAACCTGGACAGAAGGTGTCCTGGCCTTGCTTACCTGGGGTGGGTTGTTTGAATTTTATGAGCCTTTGGGTTTCAAGTTCCTGCTAAGAGGATGATTAGCTTATTAGACTGCCAGCTCCCACCCACCAAAATAATCCTAGACAAGCTGAGGTGAGCAAAAAATCTAGACAATCACAAGAATATTAAAAAGTGAGAGTCCCATGGGACTAAGGAAGATGGCTCTGAGCCGGAATGTGTTGTGGGGACAGAAGGCTGGGTGGAGACTCGCCGCGGGGAAGAGGTCTATCCCTTCCCTGTGAGAGGAAACTGGGAAAAAGTGAATCAAGCCTGCTCTCGCCTGTTTCTGCCCCTACTGGGAGTATTTAGATGACAGAGGCTTGGAGTTCTCCACAGAAGTCCTTCTGGATATTTTTTCTTTTGTTTCCCTTGCCTTTGGAGATGTGTCTTGAGAGAAGTTGCTGTGGCCGATGTCGAAGAGGTTACTGCCAACATGGATGAGACTGGAGATTATGCTGAGTGAAATAAGTCAAGCAGAGAAAGTCAGTTATCAGATGGTTTCACTTATTTGTGCAACGTAAGGAATAGCATGGAGGACTTCAGGAGAAGGAAGGGGGAAATAAAAATCAGAGTGGGAGACGAAACATGAAAGGCTATGGACTCTGGAAAACAAACTGAGGGTTTTAGAGGTGGGGTGGAGGGATGGGTGAGCCTGGTGATGGGTATTAAGGAGGGCCCAGATTGCATGGAGCCCTGGGTGTTATTCGCAAACAATGAATCATGGAATACTACATCAAAAACTAATGATGTACTGTATGTGATCTAAGAAAAAAAAAAAGTCCCAGGGTGCTTGGGTGTCTCAGTGGGTTAAAACCTCTGCCTTGGCCTCAGGTCATGATCCCAGGGTCCTGCGATCCAGCCCCACATCAGGCTCTCTGCTCTGCAGGGAGCCTGCTTCCCCCACCTCCCTTGCCTGCCTCTCTGCCTACTTGTGATCTCTGTCAAATAAATAAATATATTTTTTAAAAGTCCTTCTGGATAGTGAATTGAGGAAAGTGGACAGTTAGTGACTAGTCTATGTCATTCACTCTCATTTCTTCACACTAAGTACTCGGTGTTGAGGTATTACCATAGGAAGACCGCTTTCTTCTCATTTCTGTTTGATCCTAGCGGTTTGAAGATAAAGATGGGACAGATAAAGCTGGGAAATGGAATGCTGAAAGGCAGGAGAAAATGACTGTGGTTGATGATAAACGCAGCTTTCCCACTTAGCCCTCACCCTGCCGTCTCCTTCAGCTCTCAGGACAGACGGCTTTTTGGCCATGCTGACTGCACAGTGCCTGGAAGATATCCAGTCCCATACAGGGAACGCGGATCCACAGGGAGCCTCTGGTTGATGAGGGAGCAGAAGGCTTGCTGAGGACAAGGCAGAAGCTGACCCACTGCAACCTCACCACACCCCCCAACTCCAGGGCAGGACATAGGTGACATTCTTCCTGTCTTAATGTTAGTACCTTGCTAGAGGGGAAAAACAGCCTTAACCTGACCATGACAAGGCTTTAGGTATCTCATAGGTCCTCTTTAGCATATGAAAAATTCTTTTGAAACCTCCCTTTACTTTACATTCCCCAATTCGCCACCCCTCACAACCCCAGGGGCAGCAGCTCTTTCTGCCCATGGGTTCTGTCCTAGTGGTTTAATAGAACCACCTTTTTGCACCAGGGAGGTCTTAAGAATTCTTTTTTGGCCATCTGCTCTGGTCCTCACTTATATTCTAAAACTTCATCATAGTCAGCTTCTCAGTGATTCTGTTATTCTCCTCACTAACGTATTCTTTATTGCTTTAGGGAAAGGATCTCAGATGATTTTCCGGTCTCAGATGATGAGTCCATTCCAACATGGCCCCAGAATCCCTGAGATTCTCACCTCTTCCTCTTAACTTTGCAAGCGGTTGCAGCATCTGCATTCCACTGACTGTGAGTGCCACCATGTCCCAGCCCAGCAATGGTCCCAGCAATGTAGGAGCCCTTGTTCCAGGTGTTCCTGTCTCCTGACTCACAGGAGAGTCCTCCCATGTCAACCAGTTTTACCCTGTCTAGCCTAATATTTCATGATTTCTTTCTCCAGCCATGTACATTTCTTCATTGACTAGTGAAATGTATTAGCTAAGTGCTGCTCCCCTTTGGATGAATCAGGTAAATATTCCTATAGCCAGGACTGTTATTTCATGCCGGGGCTGCGCTGACATCTGTTCCAAGTTACTAGTCTAGAGAAAATGAGCGAGGCAGGCATTTTGAGGAAGGCACTGCTGTCTCCAGCTCTCAGAGCAGATCTTATCAGTTGTCTAGTGCTGCATAACAAACCACCCCCAAACTTAGTGTTTAGACAACAACCACCACCTTTTACTTAGTTTACATTTCTTTGGGTTAACATTTCAGATTTGGCTCAGCTGGCTCCCGGGTTTTGGGTAGGCTCACACTCCTGCTCTGTGGTCTGCCGCCCATCAACTGGGTGAGGCGACAACTTCAGGAAATGGGTGGCTTGTTCTAGTGAATGAATCTCTGATACCAGAACTTTAGCCTCCGGCTTTCAAACGATATCGGGGGTGTGTCTCATCACTCAGTGGCTCTGGACCACCTCCTCCTTGAATGGTGCCTGCAACTGCAATTCTCTGCTCCTACCTGTGCCTTCTGGTGATGCCAACCAGGGTTACAACAGCGTCAGCAAATCCCTGACTTTTCTTGCTGCCTGAAGTCTAGCCAGATGCTGATTTCATCACCCTTCTTGCTTTCTAGTGTTTGAAGATCAGGTGAATCGTAAGCATGCACTGACCAGTGAGTTAATGGCCAGGGACAATTTTAGGTGGCAGTACCCACTCTGTGTACATTGTAAAAACTGCCTACATCAGGAAATGATTGGACGCCCCAAGATCAGGAACATTATATCACCATGTCAACACACCTACAGACCAGTAACTTCTCATTTCCTGTCTTGACAAAAATTTGTGCTTTTCTGTATTCTTTTCCTCCTGCCTTGAAAAATTTCTCTTTTCTGTTTTGCAATAACATACCCATACTTCAAAACCCATCACAAATGTTACCTCCTTGGTGAAGTCCTCCTGGATTCATCTATCCAGGAGGACAAGAGAAAATTACATGTGATTTGCATTTTAAGCAGAACTTGAAGATTGCATCGTATGTGTTAAAGACAGGCTAAGCACTTTACATGTGTTATCTTTTTGATTTCTCACAACAGCCTTAGATGGTAGTTACTGTAGTTACTAATACTATTCACTTGTTTATATTTGGAAAAGGAGCATTGGTGCCCATTGGTGCTAGAAGTCATTCAGGAAGTGAATACTGAAACTGATACATAAACAGTTTTTGTGATTCCAGTGTAAGCCTTAGTTTCGCTTAAAAAATTATTGAAAAAATCAGAGTTGGTCAGTGAGTGAGATTTCAGTCATAATTATGCAGGGAAGAAATTGATGGAGCAGAGTGAAGTTTCCAAAGTTTCTTCTGTGGGTTATTGAAAAATCCTCTGCAAGTTGTTAGGATAGACCCCCCAGGGGGGATGCAGTAATGAAATCGATATATTTAAAAATGTATCTGAACATAGGTTGTTGGCATTGTACTGACTGAAGAATGATGGCCTCATAAAAGAAACCTGGTGAGAATCCAGGTCATGTGGCTTGATTCATAAGTCATTTCAGAAAAGCTAGCTACAGATTTATGCTCAAGCAAAAGGCCTCTTCTCTTGGGGAAGTATGAGGATCTGAGGCTGTTTATACTTCTGTCCTAGCTTCTGATTTTCCTTGCCCCATCCTTAAGTCATTTGGTAGTATTGAGAGAGAAGTTGCTGATTGGAAATGTGTATGTGAACAATGTGACAGAAGCAAGAAAAGAAAACAAACTAGTAACTGAGAGAAATTTGTGGGGTGCCTGGGTGGCTCAGTCATTAAGCATCTGCCTTTGGCTCAGGTCATGATCCCAGAGTCCTGGGATCGAGCCCCACATCGGGCTCCCTGCTCAGTGGAGAGTCTGCTTCTCCCTCTCCCACTCCCCCGCTCGTGCTCTATCTCTCTCTCTCACTGTGTCTCTCTCTCTCTGTCAAATAAATAAATAAAATCTTAAAAAAATTGAGAGAAATTTGTGATTTCATATCCATTTAGGCATAGTGTAACCATTACGGGTGTGCATTTTGGAACCAGATACCTGGGTTCAAATTCTGGCTCTGCCACTTAATAACTGTGTTACTTCCTATAAATAATTTAACCTTTTTTGAGTCATTGTTTTCTCTTCTGTACAATGTAAATATTTACCTCAAAGAAATATGTTGAACATTGCTCAAGAGAATGAAGATCTAAGCACAATGCCCAGAAGGAGAAAATTTGAACATTTTTTCTCCTGATTCTTCCAGAAACACTGCATGATAGAGAATACATTTTTAAATTTTTTAATTTTAGTATAGATGACATGATAGAGAGTATTTTATTACCTCCTTTTATGAGTAGGGAAATTGTGGCTCACTGAGGTTATTTAATTTGGTGTAGGTTGGAAAGCTGGCAAGAAGCAGATGTAGATTTAGATAGGCACCAAGATAACTCTATTAGTTGATATCCCCTGAATTCCCAGAATGATGTTGTTGGCCTCATGGAGATCACAGTGCCCTTCTACTCAAGAGTCTCCCCAAGGCACTCTTCATGTCTTTGTTTCTCAGGCTATAGATGAACGGATTCAGCATGGGAGTCACCACAGCATACATCACTGCTGCAATCCTGTCCCTGCTGGCTGAATCATAGAACAAGCAAACAGCTGAGAGGTGGGAGCTGTAGGTGGAGAAGGCCTTCCACTTCCCACTCGTTGATGGGACTCTCACAATGGCAGCCATGATGCAGACATAGGAAATGATAATTAGCAAGGGGATCAAGATGATTAAAGCCCCTCCCCAGTATATTAACACACACTGGTTGACATAAGTATTGGAACAAGAGAGCTTCAACAGGGGGAGAAGTTCACAAAAGAAGTGGGGGATAATGTTGTCAGTGCAGAAGGATAACTGAGCCAGGAGAATGGTGTGGGTCAGAGAGTATGACTCAGTGAGTATTAGGGACATGACCAATAGCAGAGTACAGCATTTGGGAGTCATGACCAAGGCATAGTGAAGAGGGTGGCAGATAGCCTCAAGCTGGTCATATGCCATCACTGCCAGGAGGAAGACATCTAGACCAACGAACCATAGGAAAAAGTAGATCTGAGACAGGCATCCACTGTAAATGATGGTTTTCCTATCAGCCTGGATGTTCGCCAGCATCCTGGGGACTGTGGTAGATGCTAAACACAAGTCAGTGAGGGAGAAGTTTGTCAGGAAAACGTACATGGGGGTGTGGAGGTGTAAATCAGAGACAAAGGCCAGGATGATGACAATGTTCCCCAGCACAGTCACCAGGTACATGCTCAGGAAGATGCCGAAGAGGAGGGGTTGCTGTTCCTGCTGCTCAGACAGGCCCAGGAGGAAGAATTCAGAGACACTCATTGTGTGGTTTCCTGGTTTCATGTCGCGGGTGTAACTAAGGAACAAAATGGAGGATGACACTTCAAAAACGTTTCCAGCCATGATATTGTCTAGATGGAAACAAAGACATAAAATAAAGATGGATTGTCTCCTTGACATCTGAAAGAATGCTATGAGGTAGTCATTGTTATGCCGGTATTATTGATGAAAGAACTGAGTCACCTAGAAAGTGCTGGAGGTAAAGTTTACATCTGGCAATTTTGACTTTAGAGTCTGTGATCATAACCTCTTTATTGATCTGCCTCTGATCAGGCACCCAGAACTAACTCATTTATCCATTCCACATTCAACCAGTACTTACTGTGTGTCAGTCTCTGCTCTCAAGGACCAGAGAGACAATGGTAACAAATACAGCAGGGCCCCTGCCCTCATGTAGATAGTATTCTAGCTGGAGGACCTGGGTAACAAACACTTAAATAAGCAAGAATGGGTTACTCAACTGAAAACAAAATGTAGCAGTGACTAGCAGGTTACTTTAAATGTTGTGGTCAGCAAAGGACTATGGAGGAATGGATAGGATGGGGCCAGCCAAGTAAAGAATTTCGTGGAAGAGTTTCAGTTGCAAGCAACCATAAATGCAAACATAGGAAGGAGCACATACATTTGGAGAAGCAGGAAGAAGGGAAGTGGGGTCAAGTGTGGTGGGTGTAGGACGGGAGTGGCAGACAGGTGGGTGAGGAGGCAGGCAGGTTAGAAAACGGCATGAAGTGTAGATTCTCAGAACCAGCAGAGAGCCCTGGGCGTGGGGGCTGTTTAAGCAGCAGACAGCCATGATCTGACTTCAGGTATGGAAAGAGCATCCTGCTGCTGTGAAGAGAAGTGCTGTAGGGACCAGAAAGCAGACAAGATAATAAGAAAGCACATGTGGGGCCCAGCAGGGCAGCTGGGGAGACAGAGTGAAGTGGATGGATTTGGGCTCAGTTTCAGAGAGTTTGGGGACCTTGCCCAAGGAACCACAAGTGGTAGATCTGGGCCCTAGTAAATGGCCTTTGGCTTCCCCAGCTGCACCTGCACCTTTGAGGTACAAATAGTAAAGCTGTGTGAAGTGAACAGGAAAGAATTAAGGTGATTTCTTTTACCCACAGGGGCTGTTTAAAAACTGTATAGCTACAAGAAGCACAGAAATGATCTCTAGACTCTTTCTTAATTGGCAGAAGCTCTGGAATGTTCTGGAAATGTAAAAAGACTAGGAGGAGAGGTGCCAGAGACATGGATAACTCTGTTATCCCCAGTAGGGGAGAGAATGAAGGGGAAAAGGCGTTTAAGGCCCATTTACAAAAATGCATAAATAAAAGCCATTTATGATGTGTTTACAGTATGCCAATGACTAGTGTCATTTAATCCATACCACCCCTGTGCTAAGTATTTCCCTCACATTTTTCAGATCAAGAAACAGGGCTCAGAGAGGCTAACTGACCAGCCTGAGATCACACAGCTAATAAGATATCTTTTCTGCCAAACGCGGAAGTCAGTCCACTATGCAATTCTACTTCCTAAGACAGGCAGATCTTTGTTTTCTCATGGGTACTATAGATACTTGTCAACTTTGGGAGTACTTTGGGTATTTCTCAATACTTTGGGAATGTAACCATGTGGAGTTGATCCATCCTTTAGAATGCCTCTACAGTGTCTACAGGGTCTAGGGAGCTGTGTTTGCAATTTTTCATCTATGCCGATATCTGCTGATCGCCTACCTTATGGCAGAAATGCCTGTGCACACTGGATATTTAAGACTAATCAGCACAGGCACAATCCCTGGGCTTTCAGGCTAATTGAAGGGACTGACAATGAACAACTTAACAAGTGAACATATAGTCAGAAACTCTGATTAGTACCGAAAAGCAGAGGTATAGTAGTATCACCAAGAAAGTATAATTGGTGGACCTAATTTAGATCAGAGGCCAGGGGACAATTCTTTGAGAAACTTAGATCAAACTGAGGGTCTGAAGTAGTCATTAGCTCTGACAGTAGGATAGTAAACTACCCAGCACCTGCGACAGTCGTCAGGTGGTAAAGGGCCTGGCAGGCAGGGGAGGACCACGTGTCCAGAGAACAGTGAGCAAGAAGAGTTGCACAACTTAGGAGCCAGGATCTCTGGCCGCAGGTGACTGAACCACGGGGTCTACTGAATCAACCTGAGTCAGTCGGGTTGTCTTTTCGAAACTTGGGAGTTAGTGATACAGAGAGTTTAGCCAGTGAGTTTTGGGACCCGAAGACCTAAGTACAGTAGAAATTGAAGTTCCTATAGAATAAAGAAAAGTAACAGCATCCCAGCCCACCCGGCCTCATGTGAACCTTTGTTACAGATGGACAGAAACTGAGATGCATCTACAGTGGGGACATTGAAAGAGACTCAGAGAAAAGAGCAGTCAGGGGGCATGGCATTCCAGAAAGATGCAGAGTAGCTGCCTCCTGATTTTCCAGAATAATCTCATTTTCTAGTCTGTTCCCCCCAGAACAGGGGGCAGAAATGACTTAGTCCCCAGCAGTACGGACCTGGGTGTCGAGGGCCAACTATTAGCTGTGGGTTTATTACGAAATGACTCAGTGATCACAACATGGAGTGTGAATGAGTATTGACTGTTATCTGCCAGGTGCACTGTGCTGAAATGGCTTTACTTACCTGGTTGTATTTTCACTGTCTTATTAGGTGAACTCTCTGTTTTTCAGATAAGGAAACTGAGGTGAAGGAATTTGTCCCAAATGAAGCAGTTGGTAAGTAGTAAAGTCCAGACTTGAGCTCTGATGTGAACTCTGATTCAGCACTTTCGCAACCCTTCTCAACCAATCTCACACGTTTTTGAGCAGTGGGTTTCTGTGGCCCAAACACTTTGTCCTTGGACAATGCAAATTCACATCACAGCTCCATCTGGAGGCTCAGGCTGTGCCCCTTATGTGATGGAAATGAACTCGAGTGTGGTAGGCAACTGCAGGGTGGATTTTTGGAGTCACAGTAAATGGAACTGAGAGGTCCTACCTATGGGGACCCACGCTGGGAATACTTACCAGAAAGCTCCAGTGTTCTCCTTAGTGGGAACAGAGGACTAATTATCTCTGAATCCCTAAGGAGAGGAGGGCTCTGCTGTTTTCCAGAATGGCCCTGTTCTAGGTGCACACTCCCAGAGAGTGTTCCCTTTGTCTTTCACCTTGGGGGTTACTGCTCTTGCCTTGATACTGTTACTCTAGTCACTGCAGTCTGTAACTCAGAAGGAAGTTAAATATAACTTCCTGGGTAAAATGTCCAGGCATCTGTTTTTTCATCTGAACTTGAGATTGTCTTGGCCCAAGTATGTTGGCCCATATTCTAACCCTTCTGTGTGTTATGGTTCTCATAAAATGTAACGAGAGTGTCTTGTCGAACAGAAATTCTTAATTTTAATGTAGACCAACTTATCAGTTTTGGGTGATTTATTTGTGACATTCACCAAACATTTAATATATATTTGGTTTATTTTATTCTGGTTCTGTTTAGAATTCCATTATGTGATTATACCTCGATTTCTAGCCCATTATAATGGGGGTGAGCATTTAGGTTTTTTCCAATTTGGGACTATTATGAATAAGGCTGCTGTGGATATTCTTGTAAATATCTTTTGAGAGGCATGTATACGTAGTTCTCTGGATTACATACTAAGGAATGCAAATTCTGTGGCATGGGGAGTATATTTGCAGGTACTGCCCATTGGTACTCCATAGGGTTTATACCAACGCATACCCCCATTTGTAGCCTAAGGAGGTTTTAGTTCTACATCTTCTGTAAGACTCAGATTGATAATCTTTTAAATGTTCACAATGCTGCTGGGTGTGTAATAGTATCTTATTGTGGTTTTCAATTTGGGTTTCTTTTATATCAACCGAATTTGAACACCTTTTAATATGTACATTTTTCATTTGGAAATCTTCTTGTGTGAAGTAGCTATTCAAATCACGTGCTTATTTTTCTTTTTCTTTTTTATTTTTTCAGCGTAACAGTATTCATTATTTTTTACCACACCCAGTGCTCCATGCAATCCGTGCCCTCTCCAATACCCACCACCTGGATCCCCCAACCTCCCACCCCCCGCCCCTTCAAAACCCTCAGATTGTTTTTCAGAGTCCATAGTCTCTCATGGTTCACCTCCCCTTCCAATTTCCCTTATTTTTCTATCGCATTTTCTTTCTTTTCTCTTGTTGGTTTGAAGGATCTTTCCTATGTTCTGAATTTGATTTATTTGTTAAAGATAGAGAGATAGATAAGGAGAGAGGAAGAGCGAAAAGGAGGGAGAGAGAATCTTCTAATCTGTGTGTTGCCTTTCTACTGTCTAAATGGTATAAATGATATATTTTGATGAATAACAAATCATAAATGTAATATACTTCAGTTAATCTGTTTGTTCCTTGATGATGAGTACTTTTTGTATTTTGTGTTAGTCTGGCCAAATATATAAAAATATTCTATGTTATTTCCAAAGAGCTCTTGTCTTTTCCCTTATATATAGTTAGATCTATTATTATCCCTCTGGAAGTAATTTTTTTAATACTGCGAGTTATAATTCGCCTTTCTTCTGTAGAGACACACAGTTCCTTTAGCGTCATTTGTTGGAAAGGCCATCCTTTCTTCACTGCATATCACTTTCACTCACTGCAAGGTCACCTTTGCCCCCTCTATGTGTGTACATGAATAGCCACACATTCAAGTCTTTGTGTGACATTTTCATTTGTCTTGGCTAAGTACTTAGGAGTGGAATTGTTGGGTCAAGTGTATCTTTAACTTTATGAGAAGCTGCCACACTGTTGCCCAGAATGGCTCAACAGTTGCATTACTACCAGCATGTATGAGAATGCCACTCTCCAGCGTCCTCACCACCAGCTGTTGTTGGAACTTAAGGCATTCTAGTGGGTTCGTCGCCATATGTTCTAGTGGCTTTCATTTCCATTTGTCTAATGACCAGTGATGTGGAGTGTCTTTACACATGCTGATTTGCTATGGATCTTCTTTCATG